TCTTTTCTGAAGTCCCTACCACTTCCCTTCATCAGCTGTATTATGAAGAGAGAGAGAGATGACCTAACCCTCGGTTCCTGTTCTGACTGGCTGTTAATTATTACAAAACAACAGAAAGCTTGATGCAGAATCCCCCCCCACACACATACACAGTTAAATTCCTGAGCCTTTGTTACTGATGGAGAAGATAAATGAGGCTCTGACTCCAAGCCTCCAGGAGCTCCTGTAGTACTGGATGTCCCTGACTGACCACAGTCTCGCAGGTTTTTCTGTGTGTAGGAAATCATTTCACTCTGAGTGCTCAGGGCTGAGGGCTGCAATGCAGCTTCTTAAGCTTTTGAAAAAGTTGGGAATTTACATAACTATTCAGTTGGAAAAATTATAACATCAGTTAATGCCCCGAGGATAGCATAGACAAAGATGTTTTTGCTTTTTAACCTCCGAGTGTGTTTCTGAGAGTTTTGTGAATAATAAGTGGGTAGGAAAATTCCTAGGCAGCCTCTCTAGTATAGTTGGCATTTTCTGAAAAGATGTAGATAAGTGGAGGAGTGAAGACTAAAAATGCTGTGACCAGAGGAGGCATGGAGAGGCAGTTCCTTCTAATCCATTTAATTTGTTCCAGAAAGGAAGCATCTAAGTCTCCCCTCAGCACACAAGGATGGAGATAGATCGGATAATCATCAGGAACACTTCATCATTTGACTGAGGACATTTAGGTATTTTTTTCTAAAGGAAAACAAATGGATACTTTTTTTTGAGACATCTGCTCTGTAAGACTTCCCCAGTATAGAAGGCAGGTGAAGGTGTCTTATATGGCGGTCCTTTGTACTGCGTCGCATCTTCTTGCCTGTTTGAACCAGAGGCCAGCCTGAGCATTCCCAAGCAGAATACCCAAGGGAAGAACTAAAAATGACCGTTGAGACCAAGATGGGGGTCCCATCTGACTTTCTAGATTGAAATTCTGCAACAGGAGTTTATTTTGATGAGAAATGAGAATGATGACACAGATGGTCCTAGTGATTGTAACAGTGAACTAACATACTGGGACAGCTTTCCTGGGGGAGAAAGAGGGAGGTCTGAAATGGAGGTTTTGTGCTCAGAGTTCCACAGTTAAAAACAGGCTGTACTTGTCTCCTCTCTAAGGAGAGTTCGACCTTTCTCAATCCAGTAGTAACAGACAGCATGCCAAGGCTGAAAAACAAACAAACAAACAAAAGAACAAAGACCTGTAGCTTTAGTATGTTATGAAGTTAAAACAAAAAAACAAAAACTATCACCAATCATCTAGAGTTTCAGCTTTGGTCTTTGTTGTCTTTTATCATCTAGAAGACAGTATAAGCATTTCAAAGGATAGGATGGGATGGACAGGGATGTATTATGGCACTTGGGAGCCAAAGAATACTGAGTGTTACAGCTTGGATGGACGGGTATTCTGGCACTCAGGAATCACAGAATACTGAGTGTTACAGCTCAGATAGAAAGGTATTATGGCACTCAGGAGTCAAGGAATACCACAGGTCACAGTAAGCATAGCAGCTTTTACAGCCCTGGTTCAGGGAAAGGCTTCCCTAGTGTATCAGCTTTGTTCCTGCAGGAGAGGGTTTGCCAGCTGGGGATATTTTCCCAGTGTAACAGTTTTGCTCTGGCAGGAGAGGGTTTCCCGGGTGAAGTTCCTACAGTTTAGCTCTGCTCCTACCTAGGTCTGGGGTCTCATGTGAAGGATGAGGAGTTCTGTCTACGTTGGGGAGAAAAGAAAGCAAAATGGACATACCAGGATGTCACCCTTCAGCAGTGCTGGCCTACTGATTTACAGATGATAATTCAACAGGTTATAAACAAGCTGTTGGCCATCTTTTAAAAATGATATGATTATTTAAAAATTTATCTTATTCTTTTAAGGCAGGGGTCACTTTGCTGTCCTAGTTAGTCTAGAACTTACTATGTAGACCAGGCTGGTCTCTTATCTTACAGAGGTTAGTCTGCTTCTACTTCCCAAGTACTGGGATTATGGATATGTGCTACTGCATCAAGTAGGACATTTAATATTCTCTCTCTCTCTCTCTCTCTCTCTCTCTCTCTCTCTCTCTCTCTCTCTCTCTCTCTCATGTTGCCAGGCTGATCTCAAACTCATCTTGGACTTCTAATTATCTTGTGTCCAACTTTGAGTGCTGGGAACGCAGATGTATGCTACTACACTTCATGCCATCTGAGGGTACAGCCATTCTTTTAATCCTTTAACACACCTGGTACTTAAAACAAGAAAACCCCAACAGCATTAAGGCTGGGAAACATTGTGGTATTCACTCTTTCTAAGGTTAGAAGTTTGAGAACACACCAAATACAAGACCACTTTGGTGATTCTTCCATTAATTTCTCCTCCCCTACCCCCAACTCTTCTTGTACTGAGAATTGAAGTCCATACCTCATAAATGTTAGGTGAGCACTCTACCATAGAGACACATCTTCATCTCACTTTCATGATTATTAAGCCAGCCTTGCCCACTAACCAAGGAAAAGGACACAAATGACTTTGACTTACATGATATTATATTGCTATGTATCAATCAAAGATCAAATATATCTATGCTTTCCTTGCTGGAATGAAGACAGAGATCCATTTTCTTTGTAGGAGAATGTCAGAGGGAAAAATAACCAATAGAAAAAAAAGCAAGGCCCCTAAGAGGTCTTCATTGTTTGCTTATCTAGTTAGGATTCTAAGTCTGCTCATTTTTAATCTCATTTGAGTGGGACCTGTGAGGACTGGGCTGAGGGATGTCACAATGTGTATCAGCCATCAGAGCCCCGAGAGCATTGCTAACAGGGAAAATATTAACATTTCCAAAGTCATGCTGCAACAGGGGCTCTGCTAATTGCTGCTCTCTGTGGCTGCTCTCCCAACTTGAGACTCTCCATGACCCAACTGTGGAAATCCTGTTTGTCAGCCTCCTACCTTCTTCCCTCGGGAAGGAAAAGAAGCAAATTGCAAGACTCAGCTTGTTGAATGCCTTTGCTTTGCTTTTGTGCAACCAAAGGCAAGAGAGATTTCCAAGACTATTGGCTTGTGGTTAGATTTGTGAAATGACTTCATTCTCCCTCCCAGTCTCCAAATAAGTTTAATGTTGAGACTGTCAATACTTACAAGACAATAGCCTACCAAAAGGCATTTAATGTCTTCATATGTTCCTGGAACATGTGAGGCCATGAAGTCCATTTAGAGTTCTGTCTCCTCTGGCACAGGTGTATAAGAGACCTGTTCTTTCTCATCCACAGTCTGTCTTGTCCTAGTTGACTAACATCCTCACTTGAGGCTCTTTCTGATACTTTGTCTTCTTCTTGATACCAGCTAGTTATCTGTGCCACACAGTAACTATAAACGTGGTTGGTAATATTCTGACACTTATTTGTTTACTACAGCATTGCAAAATGAAAAAACTTCATCTTCTTTGTGTTTCAATGATCTTCCCTCTCTAGGGTGTCACTATACTCCTCTAACCCTCTCCAGAACATTCCAACCACTTTGCTTGTCAAAATAGATTAAAGATTATCCTACCACAGATTGTAACAGAAAGTGATTTTAATAGAGGTGTTAAATTAGGCTAGATTTTTAAAAGGCGGCTTTTTGAATGTATTAATTATTAGTCAGATTTTCTTAGAGTTGGAGCCACATACCAAACCAAAGGACTATAAATAGTTTTCTCTCTGGAAAGAGGAATGATTAAGCTTGGTCAGTAATACTTCCTACCAGCTTAAATTGCCTGATGGTGTCTCCCAGACTAACAGATAATAACATGTTAGTTACATGTGGCAGTCGGCAGATGGCCATTGCAAGAGCAAGGGTGAGAATGGCATGTTCTGAGAAAAATCTTGTGTGTGTAGAATTGTTCTTTAAAAGAGTCTTCATGGAATCTGCAATATGACTTGCATTTGGGGGCATCACTAAGTTTCAAAGAATACGCTTCAATGTAAGGGTGGAGTGAGATAGATTAGGAAAGCAAAATATATACAACATTCCCCCAAAGAACCTTTCTCTAAACAGCAACAACATACTGGAAACAAACAAACAAACAAACAAAAAACACCAAACCAAATAGTTGAATCCAAAAATCCAGGAACAAGTCTCAGGTTTGTTTGTTCCCTTAACCTTTCCTTTCCTCCTCTCCTTTGTCTGTCCCGGGCCTCTCGGGGGACTCTCAGCACATGGCAGAGAGTGATGGAGGGACAGAAGACTTTCATCTGTGACTGTGTTTCAGTTTCAGAGGAGTCAGTGTGACTATAAAGGGGTTAAAACTGTCAACACCTGTCAGAACTTGGAGATGATTAATGTGCTGTAAACCCGAGGCCCTAGACGCTGATGACCACACAACAAGTGCATTCTGCTAGGCTACTGTTTTCACAGAGATCCTTGTTCATCTACCTCCAGCTCATGCTTCTGAGATGCCTTGCAGAAGAAGTCATTGTTTATGCATACAAATGATAATGATTAAAGATGATTATGAATCATCTTTATTTTGGAAGATGCATTCTGAATTAGCACTAGAGTTTACCATTACAAGTTGAATACAAAAGTTCCCTTTGCACATGAGACAGGCAGCTATTAGCATTCGGAGCATCTGCAGAATGTCGACTAAGGCTCTATTGTTAAGAGTTGCTAACATGGGTATTGAACAATGTGATTGAGAAATCCAAAGTATTACAAGGTAGATTTAAGGTTTTCCTTTTCCTTTTCTTACAAGGGCCATATAAGAAAAACAAAGAGAAGTAGTCCATTTAAAAATGAACCAAAGGCTTCAGAAGGATGTAATGCATTTTCCATTTATTATCTTAAAAGAAAAAAATGAATGTGTAAGAAGCAGAAACACTGAAAGCCATTTTTCAAAAATCTACATAGTAACCAGAAAGGTACAAACCTGGCTGGAAGACAGGAACAGGCATCCGTGATGCACTAGGGGAAGGATGGGTAAAACAGAACCTCAGTAACCCAGATATGTTCAAATCCACAGGTCCCAATGGCCGGCATCCTAGAGTACTTAATGAATTGGCCGAAGTCATCACAGAACCGCTAGATATCATTTTTGAGAGCCCGTGGAGGACTGATGAGGTGCTGAAGACTGGAAAAGGGCATATTTAGAACCTTCTTTCTCAAAGGGAACTGGATGGTGACTCTGGAAACACCCATCAGCTTAAATTTTTGCTTGGAAAACTCTGGAATAATCAACTTAGTAAGCTGAGTAATAGCTTACTTGTAGCTAGTAATAAGGCAGCGACCTACCGCCCATGAAAATATATTGAACTTGGTTTTAAAAGGACACTCCAAGCAGGAAGAAGTCTGATACATCTCTTGGAATTTCCCTCCTTTGTTCTTTTGATTTTTTTTTATCATAATAGATGGGGTGGATAAAGACTTGTGGGTAATTACTAATCTTAAGTATACTAAACAAAAGTAGGTTTCTTACAATAATTGTAAAAAATTTCAAATTGGCTTCTATCTCAAGAGCAGTAACTTTCATTTTATATCTTAACATACATGTTATCTTACTTTGCATAGGGCTCTGTTTTCATTAAGGTATGATAGTTCATATAATCCTATATAAAGTAGTTTGGTAAAGGACCTCTTAGATGCTTTATATAGTGATTTTACGCATAAGTATAACCACAACACTGACAGATTAAGGAAGAAATTATTTTTTAACTTTTGAAACTTTTTCTGGTGGAGGTATGACTGTTACATTAGGAGTATCATGTCCTGACATGATAATTGAATACATGTCAGCTGTTTTATTCTTCCTTGTCTGGAGACTTCTCCAGCCTACCCCTTTCTGAGTTCCCCTTGTCTCCCTCTCTTTAGTAGGTTTCTGATACTAGTTTGGGGCAGAGACATAGGCTGTGGCAGTAGGCAAAATGAGCCTTGTCCATGGACCTACACCCAAGGAGGATAGAGGAAATTGGGTGGGAGTAAAGAAATTGACATGACACTGGGTTTTGGAATTTGGTGGGGGTTTTTTTTTGGTGGTCTTGTTTTTATTTTTCTTCATCATTATTTCTTTTGGATGTTGTTAGTATGATTTTCTTCTAAGACGCAACAGTGATGATGGGGCCTGAACTTAGATAAGAGAAGGTTATGGGAGATTTATCAATATTAGCAGAAGTTTAGACAGCATCTCAGCTGTCCTGTATTGTGGAATTGTTCCTTCACTACTCAAAAGTACATCAAAGGTGCAAGCTTCTCTCACTGTAATTATGGACAAGAGCAGGAGACTTTTAAAGGAAAGAGATTGACATTCACCTTGTCTCTAGGAATAGGTAGGCCATTAAAAAGGGATTAGATTTCCAAAGGCATTCATGGCACAATACTGTTTTTAAAATCAAAATTTGAAACACTTGAACTGCCTTCAGAGATGAATTTAGACACCATGCAAAAGCCTTTCTTGAGATTAAATGCAAATGTAAGGAAATTAACTTCTCGGAGCACGTGTGAGTTGTTCCTCAGATGCTACAGACAATCGACCACTCATCACCCTTTCAAATAAACTGGGCTTTATAATACCTGTTATACTTTTTTTTGAAGATGTGTGGGTATCTGCATAGATTACTGATATGATGTATTGTGATAATGAATGCCTTCCTGGTTGAGACCTCATTTCCAGGTGCCACATCTGTGACAGATTTATTTCACAGATGTACATTTGCATGCATTTGTTGAACTGTGTGGCTAGCCAGGACCCAATTTCTGAAAAAAAAATCTATTATTTACCCTAGAGGCAATGAGAATAAAATCTTCTGCAACCAAAAAGGGCTCTTAGTTCCTTTCAAGTTTTATTTTCCATTTGAATGAAGTCCGACTTCAACTATTTGTCTAAATTTAAATCTTGTCTGTATGCCACTATTGGGATTTGAAATTAACAATAACCTACCTAAATTATGAGTCACAATTTAAAATGGTAGAATAGCCAGTGGGTCTGAAAGGCTTCTTAGGTAAAGGAGAAGAATAAAACTGTGAAGAGAATCAGTGAAAAGAAGCTTGCTAACTTCTGTGTGTTAAATCAAGATGAGGTAAGACAGCATATCAAAGGAATTCTGACCTTGAATTGTATCTGTAGGGACTTATCTTTAGGAAGCATGTCATTGCATATTTTCTTTTATCTCAACACTGGTGGCTTCCTTAATATCTGAATGTGAAAGGTGAAAACATGACAGTAAGATTTGCATCTTGATTACATTAACTCATAGTTCCCCCCAAATTAAGTAATAAGTGACAGGGTCTTATTTTATAATATTGAGAGGTTTAAAGAAGAATAGCAAAATGTTCTTCATCTTAAAATAATATGGAAGTATATGAAGAAAACTTACTCATCTCATGCAAAATTCTGCTTTGTCAAGTATGGCATCATATATCTGTAATCCCAGCAGAATTCCTAGTTCAAGGCCAGCCTGGGCTTTGTAATGAGATTATGTCTCAATAAACAAATCAGAAAAAAAAAACAAAAGAAAATAGGAGTGACTATGCAGTTCAGTTAGTCAGTTTGTGCTGGGCAAGCATGAGGACTAATGTTTGAGCCCTACAACTTACCACATAAAACAGTCAGGTGTGGTGGTATGCACTATAGCCAGCACTGGGGAGGATGAGGCAGCAGACCCCTGGAGCTTGCTGGCTGGTCATCCTAACCTACCAGGTGAGTTATAGGCCAGTGAGGGTCCCTGTGTCAAAACAAACAAAACAGAAAATCAAAGCAAGGTGTGCCTGGAGAGGGACACATGATGCTGACCTGTGGCCACCACGTGGATATGCATACACACACACACACACAATTAGGGAGGGAGAAAAAGGAGGGAGGGAGAGAGAGAGAGATTTCTGGCCATAAGGAAAATAACAATTTAAGGGAAAAACAAAGTAAAACAAATCTCAGAAGAAAATTATAGCCATACATGGTGGCACTTTCTCAGCCCAGAGGATCAAGCAGTTTCTTAGATCAGAAAAGTATCCATCAAGTTTGGCCATTTGAACTACAGGATGACAGTGAGCAAGTTTTCCCTCTGAAATGACTCAAATCCAAATCCTAGAATTATCCCAGTAGTGTTTTCCTGTGGTGACACTCCCAGGTGCACAAGCTCTAGGGTAGCTTGAGGAATCATTGCAAATAATTCTGAAACTTAAAAGCTCCTTTTCTCTTGCCCATAAAATGGCAAAAATAAATATCTCCTCCCCTTAAGAGGCTTAAGAGTTCTACAGCTTATGTCTATTCTTAGTCTTTGGTTCAGGCATGGCATCAGCAGGCGCTGTCTTTCTCCCTACCCCGTTTCTGAATTTCAGTTATTTTATTTCTTCCTGTGTGGAAGAGATTACCTTAGAACCAACTAGAGAATTCATGTATATATTGACATGTCCTGTTGCTGTTCATTAAATAAGGTCTTTTGCTTTTTTCTTGTCGGGCTCAGAAGAGCTATCTTGTACTATCACACTAGGAGTTTGGTGAATGATTAGTGGCTGAATGAAGAGAATTTGACTTAGTCGGCTAGGGATCGGACTCAGTAAGGTGCCTCCCTTTTAAGCACATAGGGCTGATTTAGATCCCAGAATCCTCATTGAAAAAGGACAACATGGTGGCAAGTACTTGTAATCCAGTGTTGGGGAGGGGGAGATAGTTGGATCCCTGGAGCTAGCCTGGCCTACTTGATGAGGTCAGGTCAGTGAGAGACCCCGTGTTTTCTCTCACACACATAAGGTGGATGGTTTCAGATGGACAATATTTGAGGTTGTCCTTTGCCTGCACGAATGCGTGCACACACACATACACACACATTCACGCATGCACGCACGTGCGCACACACACACACACACACAAAGGCATCAAGTCCATAAAGACGAGGACTTTTCTCATCTAGAAAAACTATCATATTGGCACACATGTAGACGTTTTGTTAGCATTCCTGTTTTTATAACAGCATCAGGTATGTAGATTTGGGGAGTGAGTGTGGTATATGTGGGTATTCCTGGTTTCATGATGACTGTGTTGCACATTTGAGTGCAAGTGGTTTCCTCTCAAAGCTGCATCTACCATGAATCTAGTCAGAGAATGACGAATGACGCAGATGATCAGGAACCAGCCCGGCTCTTTTGTACGCTGTAAAGAAAGCCAGTCATGCCAGTGAGCAGAAGCACCTGCCTCCAAATTGACACCAGCATGTCTGGATATTTTATCATTTAGAGCCCAAGTGCTGTAAACAGTTCCCTTGAGTAAGTGGGATTGAAGAACAACAAAAAGAGAACTTAAAGAAGTTAAAATGTGGGGAAAATGTTTCACTCATACAGTTGTTATGAAATTAGCTTGTCTAGGCAGATGAACTATTCCACACTTTCAGGGATGCAAGGGAGTAAAAGTAGAATATTAGAGCCAGGGACATTGAAACGAAGACCCAGTCTCCAATCACCAAGCCTTAGCTCCAACCAACTGGCAAGAAGTGGTAAATTTTTGCATGAGATAAGCTGGTATGTAGAATGAAGAACCCATGGGGGTTCTCACATAGATGCTTTACTAAGTAATACCAAGTTGCTCAGAGAAAAGCAGGTTAGGCTTTGGTTTCTAGAACCTTCTCATTTTACTCTTATAATTAGTTTTATTCTTAGTTATATAATTCTACATCTGATAGTCTACAGTATTGTGTTCTTGACTTTAAAACCTTCTGCAAGCTTCACATTATTAATTTCTAATGAGATAAAATCCAGTAACTTCCTTGCACAAATACTAATCACTAGTTTAGGTATTTCTAATAGATGCAAAGGGGAGAAAAAAGGCAGGTAGCTTGGAAAAATGATTGCAATTACCTTTTTCTACTCATCAAAATTGATATTTTCTTTTTTAAATTGTCTAAGTTCTGGAAATAAAGTTTCTAACATTATGGATACTGCTAAGAATGCCTTTTAGGAATATAAGTGGTTAAATATTACAATAAGAACTGTGTGACATTTTCCCCTTTATTTTCTTTTTTTTTACAGTTTTCCTCAAATTTCTTCCTCTGAATCAAAATCCAACTAGTGAAGTTTTAAACAGTTAAACTAGACTTTTTAAAATAGATTATATTATGTATAATGCCTTTTATTAGATGAATTTTTTCTTATTACAAAACATGAAATACCATATTGATTTTCAAAAACAAGGTGGCTTGTTGAATGAGACAGATGTTAGACAGTCTGCCATTCATTGAAGTTTCTGCCTTGTTGCCTGAGCATGTTATGAGATACAAGTTGGGTTATTAAAGTCACTCATTGAGAAGCTTTCCCCACATAAAGGTTTGTATATGAGGCTGAGAAGTCAACATGGATCTTTTCTAGTGATCGAACAGATTTTCTGATTGAAAACCATGGTCATTTGTATTTGTACGCATAATAACAAAATAATGTTTCCCCCTTTCAGTTTTTTGTTTGTTTTTTTGAGGGGGGTGGGGACTATATGTGGCAAGTCTGTGAAAAGCCTAATTGGAACATCATTGTGCGCCATGTCGTGGTCGTGGATGAAGCGTTGTGATTTGCAAACATGTGTTTCCCTTCAATAAATGTCATGGCTTTCACAACGGTTCTACCTTGGCCTCTTTTGTAATCTTCTACATTCTGATGAAGGCAACAGTTTGAGCATTGTTTACATTGGTAATCTATGAATGTTTATGATGCAATAGCATGTTGGTCAGCATGGAGAATCAGAGTTCCAACTGAAAAGAAAGTTTCCTAGGCTGCATGTGAAACTACACATGAGTCTGTCATATCTGCTTGAGTGGCTTTGTGTAAAGGTTATATATGAGCAAGGTGACCTCCCCTTATGTGATTCTGAGCAGCTGTAGTGGCTTACACAGCAGGAGTGGCGGGGTGTGTTGATTGGTAGGATAGGTTCCTGCAGAAGTTTCTGCATGTGTGCAACTGCTGTGGCTGCCACAGAACTTCATCCACTGGAGGATTGTTGTAATTCAGCTACAGATTAGACACATAGTAGAGGCCATTAGACCATGAATCCTGAATTCAAACCCGAACATAACTTACTTGGGATCTGAGGACCTTAGAAAAGTGGAATGATCATTTTGCTGGTTAATCATAGTCCTTAAACATTAGTGTGAAGTTTGGTGATGGTGCTTTCCGCTATGTGTGTTGATAATTTCTAGTGATTTTTTCCCCACATTCACATGAGGTGAATGTAAATTTAAAGAGAAGATGTAGCTGTTTTTTTTCCAAGACCCTTACTCTTTTTTTTTCCCAATGTATCTTCCAGTACATAGACTTAAGGAGTGCTATGACATCTTAAAAAAATCACTCATCTTTCTATAGTGCCCTGAGTTTGAACTTAGACCATTGGTTCATGATTTAACCTTGGCACTTGTCCACGTCTTGTCCCAAGGCTTTCCAGGGATCAGGACCAGACTATGAAACCCAATATTTCAACTCCACATCTTCCTTGATCTCATACGCATTTTTAGAAAAGTTCATGGTCTTGAAATACAGCAGTGAAACTTTTTTTTAAATTAGGGAGCTATATGCAAACAACCAGGCTCACCAATATGAGGTTTTTAGAGAATAGATGGTTTATGTCATTAGTAAACATCAGTTCACATTAGACAGCTTCCAAAAGTCTTTTATCTGACTCTGGGCAACGAGAAGCCCCTAATTTCATTCTAGGCCATCTGGTGTCCTACTGAGAATTTTTGTTCATTTAAAAGAGAAATCTTCAACAATTTTAAATGAAGAAGTTACTCCTTGCTTCCTCCTAGACTCATCCCCTGAGGACAGAGTAGGTTTATTTAATTATGGATGCTTTTTGGCTAGCATCTTCCACTTTAAAATACATTCTTGCACCAGAAACAGGATGGCTGTGGAATCTCCTTTGCTTCTTGGCTGAGCAATAAGCACTGATTGTGAACGCTGTGTGTTCAGTATGCATTCCTTCACATCCCTGTCCAGTGACTCATTTAGCTTCAACTTCTTTCTGGAAGCACTTCAATCTACCCAGCACCACTGACAAAAACAGCCAGTTGGAATGAAGAACAAACATTTAATTTTGCCCTAAATTTTTAAATTGTCCTAAGTCTGTAAATCAGAAACCCCAACTCCAGCCTTGGCTTTCCTGGTGAGTACGCTGTCTATGTTGCTTCCTCTTACACCTTCCCTCTTCCATCTGTGAAAGCATTCAGGGAAGAGAACAGTCAAAACGCACTTTGGGGAAGAGAGAAACAGATGGTCTGTGTGTAACAGCATGTCTATAGGAGGAAACCACCAAATGACATTGCCTGAGGTCTTTGATGACCTCCACCAGGCCAGGAGCGTGTTTGGTTAGACCCCACTAAGCTTGTTCCAACTTGGTACTGCCTGAGTTCCTGACATGTTGTTAGGCATCATGTAGGCACTTGGTAATGTTGCTGAGTGAATGGATGAAGGATTGAGTGAACTTCTCTCTTGCTGATCAGAACTAAACACCAAGGTCTGTTAGTTGGTTCTACTAGGGCATTTCCTGTTTTCAAGGAACTTGCAGAACACTGTGACTTCTGTGTTTGTAGGGCAGCATGTCTTTCACCTTCAGACACAAACAACCGTATTTCCCCATTGTTAGACACTTACCATGCATGGTTTCATTGTGACACAGATCTTCCAGATTTCCTGTTTTCTTTTTTGTATATAATCAAATAAAAAATTATCTACTCTGTATTAATTGATGAAGTTACATCAAATAATAAATTGACACACTATTGGAATCAAGATTTTCTTTTCATTGTATTTTTTCTATTTTGAATTGTCAGAAGAATGTCTTCTATTCCAACAACTAAAACTAATGAGTATCCATCTATTTTTACAATGAAGGTTAGTCACACTATGGTCAATGAACTTGCCTGTTGCATGTAGTATATGATATCTTCCAGACAAAATATAAAGACATTTGAGGGATAAACTTCCTCTTAACATTTTGGACACACTCTGCTTTATGTATAATTAATGTGAAATTTGTGCTCCTTGACTTTGCCCCTTTAAGAAATTATCTCCCTTTAAGTTTATTTCTGCTTCCTACATGTAGGGTATAGTTCAGGGCTGTTATGACGAAGTTTGAGCCCCTTAGAGCTGCTGAGAAATATGGTTGCTTCACCTTGAAGGGATCATGGCACTCCACAGTGATCATGTGTCTGCCTTCTTTCCTTCCTTTGATAGGCACAGATTGCCTGTCAGAAAGGGAAGGGCACCAAGCCTTCAGACTCACAAACCAGGACACAAATCCCAGCTGCCCACACTTGGCTGTGGGGCCTTATACAAGTTACTAGGTCTGTTCTGACACTTGAAAGCCAGGTTATGACTTTCAAACACCGTGAGTGCACCTGGCAGAACATCTTGTATTGAGGGACAAAGCATCCTTACCACAAAACAGGTAGGCATTGTTTGCAGATAGAAGGTACTAGACAGGCATCCGGAAAGGGAAGTTTGTAACTTATGAGTTAAAAAAGATTTCAAAATATATTAGAGAAAATGCTTATATTCACGAATCAGTTGCAGAACAACATCAAAATGAGATTTAATATATACAAAGCAATTACAAACCCGTGACATAATCTTCAGAACAACTATGTAAAAGTGTTTTCATCTGTGAGTTATTCCCTTTCTATAGTTGAATAAACTCGATAAAAATAGGTTTTGGTAACTTAATCCAAAGTCTCACAGCCAATAACCAAGAATCTGGAATTTGCGTACCACTAGTGTTACTTTTACCCTACCTTCTTAACCTTTATGTGTACATGGAAGTCAAAATTACTACCAGAATCAAATGTAAAGACTATCAAGAAGCCAGAGAGAGGAAATTTGCAAGAATTATCAGAAAAGAGGGAGTACTTCAGGTATGAGAGGATCACCTGAAGATGGTGTCTAGTCCATTTGTGTTGTAAAAGAATACCCAAGCCTCAGTTATTTTTTTTGCAAGGCTCTGGAAGCTGGGAAACCCAAGACTAAAGTGTTAGTAGTTTTAATTCCTGGTGAGAGATGCACCCTCTGTAGATATTCTGAGAAATGCCATGGCCTCAGATGGCTGAAGGAAGAATGGGAAGAAAGCAAATGAGATTTGAAACCTCCTTTGTGATGGTCTTAATCCCCAAGGGCTGAGGCCCCTAGACAGAGTTTCTTCTAGAAGCTCTCACCTCTTAATACAGTTATGTTGGCAATATGAGTTTTGGAGGGAATATATTCAAACCACACAAGTTCTCCTAATCTATTTCACCTTACAAGAAATATATTCAGTCCATCCCAGTAGCTCTCGTAGTGTTAACTCATCTTACTATCAACCCTAAAGTCTTAAGTCTGGAGTCCTTTCTGCCATTTTAGTCAGATATGAGAGTTAAAGATTTGCTTTATCCCAAGGCCAGTTGCTCCCCAGATGTAAACTTGATGTAAAACATGTTTCCAAAATTCAGTGGTAAGACAGGAATATGAGAGTGTATTAGTCCCTGTTCAATTGGGGTGAAGAAATGCTGTGACCAAGGCAATTTAGAAAAGAAAACATTTACTTGTGGACTTGTTTACAGCTTCAGAATATTTGTTCATGAACCTCATAACAGAACAGGAGGCAGGCAGGCAGGCAGGCAGGCAGGCAGGCAGGCAGGCAGGCAGGCAGGCAGGCAGGCAGGCAGGCAGGCAGGCAGGCAGGCAGGCAGGCACACAAGCCTGGCTCATGTCTTATAAGATACAGGGAGAGAGAGAGAGAGAGACATGACTCTGCACTTAATCCCCAACACATAAGGAAATGGACTGGGGTCCTCCATTGTTCCTTATTTTTGGTTCAGATATTAAAAATGTAGAAGTGTGTGCATTCAAAGCAATGAGGTATCCTTGTCTGTTAAATTACAAGAAATTTGACCAAGTATTTGATTTTAACTACTCACCCATGTCTATGCCAATGAAGATGTATTCATAATTCTGCCTTGTGCTTAAAATATTATTTTTTACTCTGTTTGTAGTTGAACATGTGCTAACAATCTCTAGTGGGTCTCAGCCATGATTTACCCAACAAATGTATAAGCTATATTGGTAAAGTTTGACTTACTGCCCCGCTTCAGTGTTTTGAGGAGGCTTATCGAGAGTCCTTAAACAATGATTTAAATATCACCTTATAGAATTTAACACCTCCCCCTATGGAACAATAATAATTTATTAGATCATTTTTGTTTTTAATAACAATGCCAAATAATAGCTGAGCCCCAAAATACCTATATACTGCCCACTGTCTAAAGCATGGATTTGTTCTCACTATTCAGGCAAGAAATTATACATACATGTGTGTATAATTAATATATATGTATGGTGCATGTAATATATATTATATGTAATTTAATATATATGTATGATATGCATAATATTTATTACATATACATATATAATACATATTTTTCCAAGTAGAAGCTAAACGTTTACTAGATTGATTTTAAATATTAGAGCTCTGTTAAAACATTTTATGGCTTGAAAATATCTTCAGAAACATTTAGTTTTGTGTTTCTTACACTTAGAATATATGTGGGATACTGGAAAGAGGGTGGGGGTCATGAGGCAATGGAGAAAA